GAAAGAAAGAAAGAAAGAAAGAAAGAAAGATGACTTCCCTCTCCCTCCAAACAAGTATATGCATTAATAGTAACTTAACACCTTCTCTAATATTCCTAAAAAAAAGCCCTCTTCATCCCTAAACAATAACCAAATTATGAAAATATATTAAGCAATCAATCTAATCAGCAAAAGCATTAAGAATACCAGTGATAATAAACTATATATTTTAAACTTAAACAAATAAGTCTATTTTGCATGTTAACTTCTGAATTTTTTCTAAAAAGTAAAGCCTAAATGATCTCTCTCCTTAAGCATACAAAAGGCCATAGTAATAACGTATGTATTTAACCTAAACCAAATAAATCACTTTTACAGGTATAAATTATTGTCTTACAGTCCTGGTCAGAAAAAGAAAATTCAGTATTAACAATCCAAAATCAAAACGTAGATAATTTAACCTTGATCTGATAAATCCACTTTAAATTCCTTTCCCTTCTTTCTGAAAGGCTCAATCTTCAATCTCTTCTCCAAATAAAACCCCAGATAGTAATCTCTTATTATTCTCTCCCTGTCTATTTTCAGAAAAGGTTTCAGAGATTTGGTGTTTCCCTTCTGTAGGTCCAAAATAGAATAGCTCTCTTCTGATCCATTACTTCTTTCTCCATATCATTCTCATAATCAAGCAACTTTGAGTCTGTCTCCAGATCCACAGCATCTTTTACCATATCTTCCATGTTTCTCTTATAATCTGGCATTTCTTTAAAGTCCATTTTGAAGTCTTTATTCAAGTCATCCTCAACTTCTATTTGATCCAATAAGATCTTTTCTTCTTCTACAACCTCTGTTAGTCACAATTTTCAAAATAGTTCCTGGACACACTGATTCCAAACAACTAAAAATTCTCTGAAAGAAGGATACTCCTCCATAAACTATACAGTATATATTGTACCTGGACATTAAGATTATATGTAGCAATAAAATACAAGCACTAACTGCAATTCTCCAAATCCATTTAGAATGAAGACTTGCTGGCCTAATTAACTCATTAGAAGATATAAATAAAAATATTCATTATTATAATGGGCTGTGCAACTAACCTTAGAGACAGGAGGAAGAGCTGCAGCATAGTCAATGGTCCGGTAAGAGAAATCTGAGTCCAAAGCAGGAATGGGGGCGGAGAAACCATCTGAGAATTGACACACACACACCCCAGTTGTCTGAAACATAAAGGAAGGGAAAGGGGAGAAGCGCTTTCAGACTTGCAAGATTCTGTTACTGTAACCTTACAATAAAGGTAGTATTAGGATTCTTGGTTTCGGTTTCCTGGTCTGGACTAGTCTTACAGTCCTGGTCAGAAAAAGAAAATTCAGTATTAACAATCCAAAATCAAAACGTAGATAATTTAACAAAGGGGAGAAGCGCTTTCAGACTTGCAAGATTCTGTTACTGTAACCTTACAATAAAGGTAGTATTAGGATTCTTGGTTTCGGTTTCCTGGTCTGGACTACCTTGAAGAACTGACAATGATTCTGGTGTGCTGTGATATCTTGTTTTTCAACTTTTTTTCTACCAGCACATGTAAACTCTGGAAAGGCAAACAATATTATTGATAACAGATGTCTATTAACTCCTCCATTGCTAGTTATGGTTCCACAAGCTTTTTAATCAAGCCACAAATTATGTTACATTTAATATTTATTCAATTATTTTTCCAAGGCAAAGGTGGGCTTGTTATTAATTGAATTGTTCTTCTTGTTTTTGTAAAAGATAATGGGTACTCTATTTTGCTGATCTATGTTTTTGTCTCACAGATTATCAATGTGTACTCAGAACTAATTAATTACCAGGCAGTGTGTTAATTCATTAACTCCGGTTAACATTTTATCATGCGTTATCATCTGTAGCAGCTGTGCTAGTGCATAAAGATGTTCCAAACTACGGTATTTGCCTTATCCTCTTTTTTAAACAATGTCCACTTTATAACTGTATCATTTCTTCTTAGCTTAACTATATTCTGTGAAATCAATTCACTGCCACAGTGCTATTTTTGTACTTTAGATTTAATCTTGGATAACTAGGAAGTATTGATTAGGAGTAGCACATTAGAATATAATGCAAAGAATTAATTGCTTTGGATGGAATATATAGACCTCCTAATAGCTTTATTTTTTTTTCTATGACTTATTTCATGTGTACATCTTTATGATTCACTGGCTAATGGCAGTTTGATGGGATAGGGAAAAGGAAAGGGCAGTAGGATGAGGAGTTATAGTGCTTTTTCCTAACTCCAGTGCTTTGTTTTTCCTTCCACCACTGAGGCCACTGTAGATCAAGAGCTATGTACTTTTCTAAACCCAGGCTATTAGGAACTGCTCCCACATCACCCTTGTCCTTTCCCTGAGACAGACTTCAAAGCTTCTTCTATGGTATTGAGATACCCCAAGAGATGTGATGACCAGTAATTAGACAGAAGTCTTCATGTCATATTGCTTCTGAAATATTGCCATTAAGAAGCTTTCCTACCTTCCCACTGTGATATCCCTTAGTGCCAAGCAAAGACAATTTGATGTTCCTAAGCTTTTTTAATTTCCTATATTTTAAACCTATATTGTTTTACTGTCATTAAGATAGGTTGAGGGGTGGGGTATGGGGATATGTGCATGAACTCATGCGTGCTTTTTGAGCTCTGTTTATTCTTGTGTATTTTATTATTCTTTTAAGGTAATCGTTTTTGTGTTGTATTCATGTACACCCTAGAAATATTTATATGTACATTTATTATAGGCTGGATCCAGTGTACATCAGCTCTGCCAGATAACAAAAATAATCAGCCCATTCTTTATTTGCAGTGAAAAAGATGTGCAAATAATTAAAATCTATTTTTATATATTAAATTACAATTTACATAAATTAGATACAGAGGGAGAGATAATAGGAAAGGATATATATCCATAAATTTCAGTATGCCCCATATTGAATGGTCTTCAGGGAAGAGGGAAGAAATCACTCTTTTAGAAGGAGATATCAGAATTTTTTTTACAACCCTTGACTTCCAGGGGGAGCTGGAAGCCTTTTGCTCCTTCTCTATGGGGTCTGTGTTAGTGATGATAGTTAAGTCATCCAGTCAAAGAACTGGTAGGCAGGTTTTGCCTCTTTTACAATATTATTCTTAAATATTGTGCATTGCTTTCCTCTATAGGAATTAATAATAGCCATTCATTCAATGTGTTCCCTGTTTTGAGTGTCCCCAATCACAGCTTGTTCCATAGAATCATGCCATCTCTTTATTTATAGCCTGCCCCCTGTTACATGTCATAGTTATACTACCGCAACCTTGCCCAGCCTGACAGCCTCCAATGTGCTTTTGGACAGCAATTGTGATCATTCATAGCAACTATATTTGCTGAGGATGATGGAAGGTTACCAGACTGAATAAGGCTTTGGCTACCATTAAGGGACATGACACTTTTCAGCATCACATAAGAAGACACCTATTACTCCAAAAAAACTTGCAGTTTATAGAGAAATCTTCACAATCTGGAGAAAACATGGCATGAGGGAAATGCAATAAGCACAAACTGTAATGTATATTTTTGATATTGTTTATTTGGTGATGATGAGCCCAGATTATTTTTTTATCTCATAGCCAAAAGAGTTGGTACTTTTTTTCCTGTCTCAATTGCTCATATAATGGACAGCAACTAACCTTTGTTTTTTAGATTTTTGAATTTCTAAATTATTTGTACTTTGTCAATCAGTTCCATATCAGGATATGTCTATGAAAATTATACTTTCATTTATTCTCAGTTCTACTTTCAAGCACTGAGAATAAACATAAGTCTGAATGTTTGACCTTTGCTATGAATGACTCTTCTTCCTCCCTCCTCCACTAATTCTAACATATTAACCCAAAGAACCTGAATATACATCTCATTTCTGAGTAACGTTAGTTCCCCAACTGTAATGTTAGTTCCCCAACTTTCCTGGATCAGGATGCCCTTCGAACAGTCATTCATGCCCTTGTTATCTCCTATAGACTACTGCAATACACTCTACACAGGGCTACCCTTGAAGAGTATCCAGAAGCTACAGCTGGTCCAGAATGCAGCTGTGCGGGCTATTTTTGGAGCCCCAAGAAGGGCCCACATAACGCCGTTGCTCCATGAGCTGCATTGGGTACCAGTCTGCTTCTGGGTCCAATTCAAGGTGTTGGTTATCACCTTTAAAGCCCTACATGGCATGGGACCAGGTTACCTAAGGGACCCCCTCTTCCCCATGACTTCAACCCATCCCACTCAATCACACAGAGAGGACATGCTTTGGACCCCCGCAGTAAAAGAACTTCAATTAGCAGGGTCCAGAAGGTGGGCCTTCTCTTTGGTAGCCCCTGCTCTCTGGAATATTCTGCCCCCAGAGGTGAGATTGGCCCCCTCACTCCTGGCCTTCCGGAGGGCTTTAAAGACCTGGCTCTGCCACTTGGCCTGGGGTGGGGAAGGAATACTTCAAGCGTGGAGTTGGCTAGCCCCATAGATGCTTGCTGTCTTCAGCCCCAGATCCTTCATCATTTTCTTGGACTCTTTTTCTCTTTTTTAGTAATGTTTTTAAATTTTTAAGTTTTATGTATTTATATGTATTTATGGTTTTAATGTTTTGTGGGAACCACCCAAAGTCCCCCACTGGGGGGAGATGAGCGGGAAGAAATTTAGTAAATAAATAAATAATATTACTTACCATATGTCAGGTTGTGTCATAAGAATCTGTGGAATGTGGAACAGGAAACAGTTTGTCAACTAAAGGAAATGCCATAAAGCTGCTGTTGCTGCTGATAACAATAACAACAACAACAGCCAAAATTACAATATTTAAACTTGCTGGTCCTTTTGTACCACATGATCACAAACATCCTAAAGTAAATTCATTAAATAACTCCTCATGACTACTATGCACCAATTATATTTCATTTCTTTTTGCAGCTCCATTCTGATATGGACAGAGGAGATGGATCGATCAAATATATTCTCTCAGGAGAAGGAGCAGGAATTGTTTTTACTATTGATGACACTACTGGAGATATCCATGCCATTCAGAGACTAGATCGAGAAGAAAGGTCTCAGTATACCTTAAGGGCCCAAGCCTTGGACAGACGAACAGGCAGACCAATGGAACCAGAATCTGAATTTATCATCAAAATCCAAGATATCAATGATAATGAACCCAAATTCCTAGATGGACCATATGTTGCTTCAGTTCCAGAAATGTCACCAGTGGGTAAGGAGAACTTAAAGAACTTATTTTTGGTGTGTGTGAAACCATGCAGTAAATACACTTGATAAATATTTGCTCTTTATTCCGTCTCTTTGACAGAAACAATTGGGTTTGTTTGTTTGTCTTATATCTCAGCTTTCATTTAAGGGCTTGAGACATCATACATAATGTTTCCTCCTCTTATTTTTCCCAAAAATAACAACTCTTTGAGGTAGGTTGAACTGAGAGCGACTGACCCAAAGTCACCCAGTGAGCTGTTGCAGCTGAGGGTGGACTAGATCCTGGATCTCCCCACATCTAGTCCAACACCTTAGACACAACACAACCATGCAGAAAGAAGAATAAAAATTAGATGTACAATTTAGAGTGTAATTTCAGGGAAGTCAGAGCACAAGCAGGGAAGAAGAATGGTAGTTATAAAGACTGGTTCTTGTGGAGCAAGTCTAGTTTTTGTGAATGATCCTCAAGATCTGCTGAAATTCTCCTGCCAGGATGATTGGGGGAGAAAGATCATACTGTGTAGCATTAAGTTCAGATCATCTCCAGAAATAAGAATTCTGTATTATCTTTAGGAAAGTCATCCTGCTATATGAATATAGTCAGTGGCCTCTTCATTTTCATTACACTTTGCATCAATTAGGGTACACTTTTCATCAGCTGACAAAACAGAAACCCTAATGGAGCCATGAGTGATGGTGTTAGTGATAGTACACTGTTTTGCTTCTAGGATTAGAAATCGTGCAGATATACACATAGTTGTAAAAAGATTTCTGAAGATTCACTCCACTTTTTCTTTTTCTTATAAAATAATGAGTATGCAGTATTTTAAATATGCATTTTAAAGCAATAAAACATACAAGATAGAAAGGAGGAGGCAAAAGAATACCAAGTAAAGACCCACATAACTCTTAACAGAGCACCAACAAGGTGTCGTTTCACTGCAGATTGCTTTCTGATGTGTAATGAATTTATACCATCATTCTCATTAGTGCTAATGACTCTTGAGTGCAATTTTCTTAAGAATCAAAAAGAGAATCTTCTCATGAGCAAAGGTTACAATTCACTGATCCTTGTTAGATCTGTGTCCTCTCTCCCCACTACAAATCTAATAAGGCTCTGCACTGTTTTTGTCAGGCACCTCTGTTATCCAAGTGACAGCAACAGATGCTGATGATCCTACCTATGGGAACAGTGCCAGAGTAGTCTACAGTGTTCTCCAAGGACAGCCATATTTCTCTGTGGACTCCAGAACAGGTAATTTCATCCAAAATCATCCCCAAATGTGACATTTCCCCTTAGCTGTCATGGCGTATTCAGCCTGGGCTTCATCAGCAAAAACCAAATGGTCAGTAACCATGTGCCCCATCGTTTTTTACTAAAGCACCAAGCACTAAAGCATTGAACACACCAGTGAGAAATAACAGGACTGGTTTGGCGAAAAGGGCAGATGAATACAGCACTATTAATTTGAGTAAATGCTGTATCAAACTCTAATAGAACTCCTGCAAAGTATGCAAGGAAATCAAGGTTAAACGAAGCACATACAAAACATGTGATTGGTATAAAAATACAATTTTCCCACTAGAAGCAGTGGCTTATTATGTCTTTCAAGGTCAGTGGAGAGAGGCAGGTGGCAGGCAAAGATCTGATTATACAGATGAACAGCAGTATAATACTGCTGAGTATTAATGCTACTACTACACTACTAATATCTAAAAGAATAAAACATTAAAGAACTCATACCTTAGTCACCTCTGGGCTGGATGATTGTAATGCACTGTACATGGGGCTGCCCTTCAAGAGCCTTCAGAAGCTGCAGCTGGTCCAAAATGCAGTAGTGTGGGTGGTTTGGGGCATTTCATGTTATGTCCACATGATGCCTCTGCTCCGCAAGCTGTATTGGCTTCCAGATGTTATTCAGGGCACTAGTTGTCACCTATAAAGCCCTACATGGCATTGGGCCAGGATACTTGTGGGACAGTCTCATTCATTTCTCCTCACCCCACCAAAACCGGCAGGATTGTAATGGTCCAGGCCCCTTCCATCAAGAAATGTCAGCTTGTGGGACCTAGGTGTTGTGTCTTCTCTCCTACAGCAGCTGCCTTATGGAACAGCACTTTCCCCCCACCCCTAAGAGATCAGTCTGTCCTTGATCCTTCTGGTCTTTTGTAGGGCATTAAAGACCTGAATGTTTCCTCAGGCACTGGGGCTGAGCAATTAAACCAGTCCTTTTGGTAGATTTGTTGTTTGACTTGTATGGATTAATATTGGATTTTTAGGCCCAGACATATCTTATGTTTTATGTTATGTTACTGTCTGTTGTTATGTTATTACTGTTGTTGTTATAGGTTTCTATTTTTTCTTTATTTAATCCTGTGTGCCACCCAGACTCACTGGTGTAAAATGGGCAGCTACCTAAATTGTTAAATAAAATAAAATAAAAATAGTGGTGAATTTGAAAACCTATATTTAAATCCTGTTCAGCCATGAAACAGCCAGGAGATCTTATGGATTTCTGACTGCTGTTCTATACACAAGGGCAACATTATTCAGTAAAGGTAGCAGTTGATCTTTGGCAGGATTTATCAGAAAAACCATGCTGCCCCCTCATGTTCTCTTTCAGTAAATTGATTTCCATAACCCCAGATGCTAATTAGAGATGGGAAAATCTTGTCTTTATTTCTATGAATATTACCGTCTTCTTGTATTCTCAAGAGTAGAGATGCTGTTCTATTGTGCAGATCCAAGTTCCGTTGCACATGAGATACTTATTAATTGCAATTGGCCTAATTGCTCATCAGGTTCCAGGGGGGAAGTGTTGGCATATCTTTAAGCAGTGTGGGAGCATCATAATAAAGTTCTGAAGCATTGTTTGTGTAACAGCCTGAACACCCAGTCAAAATGTCTTAAATGGATCCGACAATGACATATTGACTTCCTTACAGCATCAAATATGCATGCTGTTAAGATCAGAAAGGTAATGTTTATTTAAAAAGAAATTGCATTATAACTAATTAAATAACAAGTATTTTATTCAAATCATTATGAATTAAATGCATATGCATATTGGATCTCTGAGTAGATAAGAAAAAAGTATGAGATATTTCAAATAGTAATTACCATTTAATGGTAACTGGAAAGCTTGTTTTTAATGTTTCTTTTACATTTCCTAGTAAAAAACTAAATTCTTCTTCAAAAATAAATAGGGTTTCCTACTAGAATCTCAATAAGAAGAGAGATTCACTATCTTCCTTGATAACCCTTCACAGCAATTGCTTTAGGGAATCAAAAACGATATCAACAAAGTCAGTCCTCTGTTGATAAAAGATCATTCTTTCTGGGAAATCTTTTAAATAATTATTTTGGAAAGGCAATATTTTCAAATCAAGGCTAACTCCAGTTAATTTCAGAGATATTATTATTTAGTAAATTGTCTTTTTCTGTGTTATTCTCTGTGGTTTCCATAGGCTTAATTAGGACAGCACTAATGAACATGGACAGAGAAGCAAAGGAATACTACGAAGTTATTATCCAAGCCAAAGACATGGGTGGACAGCTGGGAGGATTAGCCGGAACAACCACAGTCAATATTTCTCTCTCTGATGTTAATGATAATCCACCCAGATTTCCACAGAGTAAGTACCATCCATTTTTTGTATTTTGGTGTCCCTCAGCTTCTCAACAGATGTCTCAATCTGAAGGTATGCTTCAGATGATACATTACGATTTGTTATCTACTTGCTACCCAGGGAGTATTGGCTATAATCTGAAAATCTCTGGGAAGTTATTCCAAGAAGAAGTCGTTCTTTTATTTTATTTATTTATTTTGGATAATAAAATCTGGTTTGTTCACCTTTTGTATTTATTAGTATGTGAGGCACATCAAAAGTAACAGCAAGATAAATCCCTGCACCAAAAGCTTACAATGTAAAGTATAAGACAAAGAAGCAAAAGGTGGGAAAGAGAGGCAAAGATAATGACCCTGAAAATGAAAGTATGTCATGAAACATGTTTATTCTTGTAAGACAATCTGAGCCACTGCCAGGTGCTGAAAAGAGTTTAGCCACAGCTTGAGAGAGCAAGGAAGCCTCTTTCCCTTAAAAATGGTATTTCCTTTGGTCCTTTATCATTAACAATTACTCACCCAACCCTATTTTAACATTCCGGGATGCTATCCCTCCCTCAAATATTATTGCAATCTTCTAAGGGTTTTGGAGCCCAGAAATGCCACTCCCCAAATGTCTAGGCAAAATCTCTCGATCCAGCATTATGTGAAATGGTGCGTACTTTTCAAGGAAGGGGAGGTGGCATGAAACAGAAAAAGAAATGAGGGAAAAAATAGAGGGAATTGTATGTACCCTGGGTGATGAGAAAAATGATAATAGATGTAGCAACAAGGAACTGGGGAGAGAAGAAAAGGAAGATGATGAAGGAAGTTAGATTTGGAGGAGAGTAACATGACATCAGCTTCTTATGTGAAACTGGGGGCTGAAGGAACTGTGGGAAGATTGTGACCTGGAAAATTGAGAAAATAGGAACAAAAAACTCCATAGTGTAACTTTAATTGTGTTATTGAAGAAAAGATCAAAGTTTTAAGAAGAGTTGAGAATAGAGGCAGCAACGCTTGAAAAGCAAACAAAGGCACTGAAAACATCCTAAAGAAATTGTTCATATGATTGTTGCTGTTCTTAAGCTTCTTTGTATTGTTGTTCTTAAGCTTCTTTATTACTTCTTTGGTATCTATTTACTATTTGATCTGGATCAGCTAGGATAGGTCAGATCCTCTTCTTTTGGTACCAGGTATGCCCAGAAGACCCCTTGGGGAATGGGGGCCAGAAGAAGAACCAACTCCACCAGCATAGTCATCACCCTCATGCAGGCAAGCCTGCCCAGGCAGTCCCAAGGCAGCCTCAGAGCTATGCCAAGTGCCTAATGCTGGGCCTAGTGAATCTTGCCCAGGTGCATCTGTAGGCAGCCAATGAAAGTAATTCTGCTCAGGCACTTGTGTCTTTGGGCCTGGGCAGTAAATGTAGCAGGCATGCTGGGTGCTGCTGCAAGCATTCCTCAATGTTTTCCACCAGCCCAGGCTAAGCCTGTCATTGTGGCAAGAAGGGGGTAACAGCATCTAATCCCAGCTCAGCAACAGGGTCCCCAGGGCCTAGTCTCATCCAATATTCAGGGTTGTCATAAGGGGACAGGGGACTGGAGTGGCCAGCCTGGAGCAGAAACTGGGACCAGCTCCTTTGGAATATGTGTTGTGGGGGGATGTGCCAGTTAGAGGGGTCAGTGCCGTTGCAGTCCCCATCTAGGTGCAGTTTGGGCAATGGGTAAGGAAAAGCCTTGGAGCTCTACAGAGAACAGCTTCTTAGTTTGGTCCTGCAGTGGAGCATAGCTGATAAGAACCACACCATGAGCACATCCTTGTTTCTGCCAACTGGAGAGGAATGGAATTCCCCCTCCTCACTGGAATGCATATTCCCCTTTCATCCAAGCTCACCAAGGTTTGCTGAGACACCTCAGCAGCCACCGCTGCTACTTCCCACCTCGCCTCCTCCCTTGCTGAAGCAGCCATTCTCTTGCAGTCTTCTCTGCTGTTGACCCCTCTGGGTAGGGCAGTCAGAGGGAAGCCCCTGGGAGTGGATATAAAGGCAGCAGGCAGAGCAACATAGGCTGAAGTATACAAAACAGGAATGGTGGCAAGTGTGGCTGGCGAATGAATAAGAAGCAAGAGGAGTTCAAGGAGCAGTAAATCACACCATCACCCTTGGCAGCATGAATACTGACAACAATTCAGCTTTGGGTGCCTCAGCTTAACTTGGACATGCACAGCCGGATCATTGCCAGACTGCACTTCCACTCTCCTTAGACAAGCCAACAGCCAACCTATCCAGGAGCGTATTTTGCTCATGACTTACAATGTGAGAAGCCCTGTTTTAGTTAAAGGCCAGAACTGAAGAGCTGGACAAGAAGAAATCCTTTTTTATAAGGCTTCTGCCTTGTGTAAGTATAGGTTGGTCTTAGATCACAGTTGCTGTAAAGCTTATTTTCAGTTCTAAAAAACAGGCCATTTAAGAAATATTCAGCAATTACTGATATAGAGGGGGATGTGGGGAAGGCGGGAAACATATATATTGTTGTAGCTGATCTCGAAAAAGCTAAGCAGATAGATGCCACTAGTCCTTGGACAGGAGACCACTACAAATGACAGGGCTGTAGGCTAGGTAGGACTTTGAAAAAAATCTCTGGAAGAAAGCAGCAACCAACTGCTTCCATGTTCTTGCCAAAAAAGCTTTCCAGATGTTTCCCTGTTATAATCAGCAGTCCAGCTCAATCTGCAGGAGGCTGATCTGTGTGTGTGAATGTGTATGGATATGGATATATAGCTCCAAAAAAATTCTCATTTATTTACATTTTTAAGCCTCCAGAAATTGCCAGAAGAGACTCACTTGTTGTCCTCCCAAATGCATCTGTAGGGCCTGTTATTTCCTGATGGTAATCTGTTGCAGCCCAAACATCCAAGAGTCTGGGAACATTTAACAAGCTAACACATTTAGGGAGCAACATGATGGGAGAGATCAGTTTGAGAAAATATAGAAGAAATCATCTTCAGCCCTTACTGCAATAAGCAGGATATGATGGTTGAACCATCATAGAATCTCCTCCACAATAATCTACGGTCAGGTAACAGGGGCTTTTGAGGACTAGAGGCCAATACTCTGCACTTTGTGAATGCTGATGATACTTTTTATAAATGTAATGGTGTTTGTGGTGAGGGAAGGAACACTTTTTCTTCTCATAAGAAGTTCTGTCACTTCTACTGGCAATCGACTCAGTGCTTCTCAGATCAAATTTAATTTGTGACTCCACATGATAATAATACACCACCATTCCTCTCTGCTATTCTAGCCCGAAAGCTTATGATAATAAATTGTATCATCCCCAATATCTAAAGACGATAAATAGCAGAGCTAAAAAATAATACAGCATGAGTTGGTAGCAAAAGAAATCAATTCAAGTTTCATGAAGATCAAAGGGCTGGAGGAGGATTTTTAGCACTGCAGATTTCTCAGTTCCCATTAGGCTTTAATGGTATGCAACAGCTGCCACAAGAAACAAGAATATTTTGACAAGAACGACATAATATGTTTCCAATGTGCTGGGAAGCTGGCTGAAACTCAGCAAATTGGAGTTATTTGTGTTTGGTCTTTGTCCAGGGAAACTGGCTTTGTAAATTCTTACCCAGCAGAAAGAACATTCAGACCTGATTCTCTACAGCCTTCTTGACACTGACTGGTGCATTCCACGTCTGTAAATCTTTCGTTCATTTATATCATTAGGGTACAGTTTCATCCAAATTAAACAGTCAGTGTGATATAGAAGTTAACATTTTGGACTAGCACCAAGGAGACCCTCAGTCCAAGTCCACCCTCAGCCACGTAAATTCAGTGGGTGATCTGGGGCTAATGCCTTGCTCTCAGTCCAACCTTCTTCACAGGATGGTTGTTATGGGGAAAAATGAGAGAAGTGAGCATTATCTATTAATTCAATCTCATGAATGAAAGGTAGGATATAAATCTTGGCAAATAAGTCATTTGTTTAAATTCTCCCACGGAAATCTTTAGGTGTTTATCTTTGCTTGGATTGTTTCCAAATTTATTTGTTGTTGACATTGCTTTTTTTTTTTTCCTTCCTTTTCTCATTTAATTTATTTTCTCCAGAGCATTATCAGTTGAGCGTACTGGAATCTGCTCCAGTCAGTTCTACTGTGGGTCGTGTTCTTGCTAAAGACTTGGACGAAGGCATTAATGCTGAGATGAAATACAGCTTTGTGGATGGAGATGGATTGGATGTCTTTGATATTACCACTGATCCTAATTACCAAGTTGGCATCATCACTGTGAGAAAGGTAAACAGTTATGTTTCTCAAAAATGTCCAACCACTTTTGGACACAAAACTATCGGTATATATGCGGCAAGTCTCTTCTGGCCCGTAAGTTGATTTACTGAAGCCTCTTCAAACATAACACACCATTGCAAGAAGTAACTCTTTCTCCATCTTTCAGATTAAGTGCTGATAAAGTGAGGCATTCTGCATGCGTGCTTTTACTTTGCCAAGGGGCAAACAAATTGCATTCTTGCAGTAAGCTTAAGGAAGGACTTGTCCATTCCCATTTTATTCTCTCAACAGTCCTAGGTGATGGGTTAGTTTGAAAGATAGTGACCTAACCATGGTCACCTAGTAAGCATTCAAGGCCAAACAGAGATTGCAAACTTTGCTAGTTCTTGTCTTGAAAGGACATGACTTGTATCAGAAGGAGTGGAAAAACAGGTCTTCCCTTTCCATATCACTCTCCAAGCTGATAATCTTGCTTTGTGTTCTGAATTTGGTTTGCAAACATCACCAGGGTTTGCAAAACTTCAGAAGGGTTAACAGTAGCTGGCAGAGGGACATTTGAGAAAGAAATTATGCAGATTGGAGAAGAATTACTACTCTCTTAACTTCCCAGATTCTTGGTTACATCCAGCGTACTGAGCAATTTGCATATATATGTATACAATGTACATACAGTAGCTGTCACAGAGATGTGAATGCATGCCTATAGTTTCCTATAAACTTGGATTTGACATTGCTCAGTGTATGATTGTGAAAATATGGATAGGGAACAAAAATGAACTTCTTCCCAATTAGAGATTGTTTCTAAAACCAATAACTTCTGAAACTAGCAGACCTTTTATTTTGGTCAAGGTCTGTGCCAATTAAAAGGATTCCACTTTGCTAATATTCAGCAAAGTATCCATTACTGTATGTAAAAGTAAAGAGCATATAACCACTGCATTCTTGGAAATTAAGTTACCAGCTGGAGGCCTTGTGTTTAAGATCTTTGCAACCCCCATTTCCACATCCACTTTTATGAAGATTCTTTGGTCATTCCTAGAGCTTGCTTTGCTGTTGTCATGAGGATTCTTTTCAATTATCCTTTTACTGTTACACATAAAAAGCACACATTACGTATCAGTGCAATACAATTATCGGTGTCATTTTCTTCTGCGGTAGAATGTACCCAGCAAAAAGGCATGAAAGCTCAGCATGGAACAGAATTTGATCTGCAAAAGGGAGCACCTAGCATGATACTTTTCATTTTATTTCATTTGCTCTGTAATAAAGACCTCTCCTTAAGAATTTCAGCAATAATAATAGAAGGCTTATAAACTATCCAAATATAACATATTTGAAACTCATTAGTTTCAGTGAAATGCTAAAGCATGTGCATAACTCCATTAACATCAGAGGAATTAATAGTGTATCAGCACAGATGACTGTAGCCATTAAAATATAAAAATGTGCAGTCTATGTAATACTTCTAGTATAGTCTTAGTGTGATCGCTTCTACTAATCCTGAACATTATTCTCTAAATGCTGGTCCTGATAGAATAGTTATTTTATTGTATTTAACCAGTGTGATGAATCCGAACTGTCCCTGGCTTCCTTCAGTTTACCAAAAACTGTGCATTTTCTTCAGAAATAGAATGGAAAGAACTTGAGACTTCAAACATTTAAATAACAGAGTCACACAGGTCTCCCCAACAACATGCGTGGATAAGCTTAGACATTTCAACAGTACAAATTGAAATGAAAATGGAAGTGGAATGCTTTCTTTTAAGAGTATTGATAAGTATTGATAAGTTCGTTTCAGTTGCTGAGATTGCTTTATAACTGTGTCTTCTATTTCTTCCTCTCGCCTTTCAGCCACTGAGCTTTGAGACCAAGAAAAGTTACACTTTAAAAGTGGAAGGTGCCAATCCACACCTAGAAATGCGTTTCTTGAATCTAGGTCCGTTTCGTGACACTACGACTGTGCACATCAGTGTGGAAGATGTGGATGAACCTCCAGTCTTTGAGCCTAGCTTTTATTTTGTGGAGGTACCTGAAGATGTGGACATTGGGACCACCATACAAATGATATATGCCAAGGACCCTGATGTGATCAACAACTCAATCAGGTTTTTTTTCCCTTAATCATTCTGATGCCCATTATGTTAACTCCTTGGATTCTCAGTGTGGTTGAATAATGGGGGTTCGCAATGCCAATTGAAATATGATATCAAGTTGTACATTCTTTTGTTATTTTGGGGCAGTTTATTCTGTCAAAATCATCACCACATTACCCTTTGAATCAGAGTCAACATTTATTAAGACCTGTCTCTCCACTACATGAAAGTTAATCTACTACCATCGTAGCACAGATACCGTGGAGACTGCAGGCCACTATGGGATTTCAAAGATTTTATGTGATGAGAAGAATAGTTTGTGCGATCAACATTCCATCCTGCACAGTGTCTTTGCATGGCAAACATAGTATGTGGCTCACCATGTTATTCCAAAGGATACATTCCTAAAAAGCTGCACATTCCTAGAAATAGGAAGAGTAAGAAATTAGAAAAATTATAGTATTCCAGATGTTAAAGCATGGCTTTTGGAAATGTGTAACTAATCTGTCCTGGAAAAGGCAATATTTGTGGAGTCTTTGGGGTTCTCTGAGCTTGGTTGTTTTCGTGCAAATGTTTCGTTACCCGGCTAGGTAACACCTTCAGTGCTAAAATGGAATGGGGTTTGCTCTCTGTTGACATACAGTGGCCTGCCCTGCCAGTGTTGGTGGGGGTGGGGGTTTTGTTTTGTTTTATTTTTTCCCTCTGATAGTTG